TCCACTTTCCCTGTTCCCATATCTCATATCAGTCTTGAGCTGTCCATCACTGCCTCTCACCTGATGTGGGTCATTGTTAAGCAGTATCACATCATAAAGGAAAACAGCCTATCGCACCTGATGCCTGTCCGCTGTGTGACAGACTGTCACTCACAACTGTATTCAAATTAATGAGTCTATGCCATTTATTTTCCCACCTTGTGCACGTGGCTGTGTGCATTCAACATGATATCTTGTGTGTGGCTAGATAGCATTGTGCCCAATGCTAATGGGAAATGTAATAGTGCCAGACAGGGATTTGCTGATATGACTCGAAAGCAGTAAAAACTCAGCACTGGCTTATATTGTAATGTGGTTCTAAGAGAGAAAGGTAGCAGGCCAGAAGGGATACTATCCTAGCTAACAGCATACATTATTCATTAGCTCTACTTCGCATGGCTGCTGATAATGATTTTATCAAATCTGGCAACGTGGGTGTGTGGGGGAGAACCAGGACTCTGGCTGCATAGCTTTATTGTCTGCAGTTTCAATACAGGACGTCCATGAATGTCAATATGATATTTTAGGAGTGGTATCAGATGGAAGCTTCAAATGCGTGTGTCATCTTTGTGTTGTTTACAGATGTGGCCTCCCCCAGTGCCCAGCTCAATGATAAGATCTGAAAAGGGCTTAAAGGTGGAGTGCAAAGAGACAAAAAAAAGTTGCTACACTAATTATGGGGAAATCAGCACAATAAATCAGGTTACCAGACCTATAGGCCTATATCCCATAGCCTTCACACAATTCAGTGTTTGCTGATCTAGTCACAATTGAATTAGTAGGTAATACAAATGTGTTTGATGACATTTTTAATGTGATACGTGCTACATTTACAAAGTCTTTATTTATCCAGACTGACAGAGGTTCACTGTCTGAACTATTGCTGAACTTTGCGCTGAATAATTGTCCACTGACCTGAAGGTTGGTGGTTCAAATCCTGCTCTCAACATAAACATGGTGATGCAATTCCAGCTACCAGCTTATAACTAATAAAAATAACAATAGTAAAAAATAAATAAATGTGTAATCTTGTGTTGCATTGTCACTAAGAGTGCCTGCCCTAAAGATAACATCTGATAAGGACTTAATGTGGAACAGTCAGAGGGTTACTCAGGTGTGCAGTGGATCAAGACAACAAAGCCAGCTACTCTTACACCACCAAGTAGCTCTATGTATTTGTCCATAGCAAAACATCTCTGTGCTTCTTTTTATACATATCTTCTTACTCCAATAACTCCCCCGGGGCCATCAAAACAATAAACATTTTGAGTCTTCCCTCCCACAATGTACAGATGGTACATGTATAAAGTCAACCCAGATATCCAGATATTTTTTGTTCTCAACTTACATAACACCGTCCACCTGCTTCTACAGGTGTTCTTGTCCCCTATGTCTTTGACTCTTCAGTGTTGTTTCAGCTTCACAATTGAACCAGTTTCTCAACACTCTTCCCCTGTATAATCTTATTACAAACTAATAACTCTGTGTTTGGAAATCAGTGTGGGAAGTCTGGCCTCGATGTAGATTGGTTATTTCCTGCCTGAGATGGCTCTCTGCAGGATATGACCTTTTTCTAGCCACTGTTATTTAACACTAAAACTGACAAAAGAAAAAGCGTTTTAGGGCAAACATTACTGTATGACATTTACCTTAAATATATAGCGTCAACCTTCTCCCATACTCACCTGTATTGTGGCAGGTGTGTACTACCCACTTCCTAAACATCAGTACATATGTTATTCTGCCAAATAACATTTAATTTATGACTGCACAGTGCATTGCCTAAATTATTAATAGAGCAAATATAGCAAATGCTAATTTATGCCAGGCAACTTTTGTATAGTGTTGCAGTATTTTGCAACAAACTCCCTATACCACCCATTCTACTCTTTAATTTAACACTCTTTTCATTTAAGGTAATACAAATAATTCATATACAGTTAAAATACAAACACATACAATAAAATAGATATATGGGACTATGACACTGAAGTTATTAAGGGTCCACATTTCCTTAAAAAAAAAAAAAAAAAAAAAATATATAATATATATATATATATATATATATATATATATATATATATATATATATATATATATATATATATATATATATATACACAATATCCTTTTTTTTTTAAATGTGAGTTAAAACTTTCAATTTATTTTTGCATAAATCCAGCTTGTTTAAAAAAAAAAAAAAGTTTTCCATTGCCATTTCAGTTGAACCAAGCAATAGTAGAAGGATCACCACTGTTAGCATTCTCGTATTTAATAATTCACCATATGCCTGGTGAATTATTAAACAATTAAACAATGCAGGATTGAAACTTGTTGATTTAGCATAACACATTTCATTTTTTCTGAGAATATTTGTTATTCATCTGTCCCTCAGCAGAGGGTCTTTTTTCAGGTCGCTGTTAGATAACACTAGACAAAAAGGAAGTAGCACAGGCGTATTGTAGTCTGGTTTAGCGTAGGACAGTGGGACAGTCATGGAGCTGGAGACAGGGCAGTGGTATTGTCTGGAGAGGTGCTGAAATGTCACATGTGCCTGAGGGTAAAAGCCACTACTGTGTGTGTTTGTTCGTGGATCGGTGAGCACGAGTTTTCCTGTCTGTCCCCTGTTCCCTGAACGCCATGTCAAGCCCTTTGTTAGGTAGATATTTTACCTTCACTACATCCCTTTGTCCTGGCTTGTTCCCAACCATAAATGTCAAATACTCAATCTCTAACACACCACTTTAACAGTGCAGTAATGGAAACAATAGGGATCATCTGCCTGTTATGTAATTGCCCTCATTTTGTTTCTACAATTCCTTTGTTCTTTGGCCACAACATTTGAGTGCAAATGACTCACTGATCCATGCTCCAGCTTGGTCCATTTGGGCTCCAATTATTTAGATTAGTTAGCACTATTGAATATAACAAACTTTATTTTTATATAATAGGGCAGAGGGGTTCACAAGTCAGTTTGTTCTATGTTAGTATCAGGCATGGGATCCATTTTACTCATCATTCTTTTATACATTCCTTTGGTTGCCTGTCCACCAATAAAGATAATTGTTAAAATCCCTATAATCAGCATCTCAACTCTAATTCTATTGGAGAATCTGACAATCGAAATATGTACATTGCATTGATATTTTGCAGGGACATCATGCTGGGGGTGTTCCCAATTGGTGGAATGTTTACGAATTACTATGGTAACACAATACACACATAAGCAAAAACCCTGTTAAAAAAGTTTTAATACTGTCTGAAAACACAAAATTGATTTAACACATTTTCAGGAGCCTGTAATCAATACGAGCCTTTATGTTCCTATTTAGGCTTTGATTTTCAACAAAAAGGTTTGAATTACTACCTAAAAAAACATTTTTTTTTGAGACTAGTTTAACAGCACAAATCTTCTCGTCTGTTGTAGTTTCAGCAGTCAGGTCAGATCAGTGTGTTCAAATAAAGCACAAATTAAAGTTGAATAAATCCTCAGACAGACCAGTGCCCTAAGGTAGCATCGCACCCCTGGGAATGTTGATGACATCAGCTGCAATGTATCAATTAACTGTTCTTATTGGATCACTTGGCATCTATGGATTTTTGCACTGAACATATATTAAATCAGGATTTAGTGAGTGCTGGCGTCCATTGCTCCATCTGAACCCTAAACTTCAAGTATAAATGAATACAAGCTATAAATGTGTGGGAAAGGTGTCACCTTGATCAAATACAGGAGAGGGGTGAGAAGAGCAAAAGCAACTTCTGAAGAATGACTTTTGTTGGATTTCCTTAAAACTTCTCATGAAGCAATACTGTGGGAAGAGCAGACAATTTTTGCTTTGTATTTCACTCCTTCCAGATAAAAGTAAACCCTTTTAAAACTTTTTGCGAGACATCATCACACATGAACAAAGCTTATGTAAAGTGTACCTACTCATCAAAGAAACACACAGTATAAAACACTAATAGTTTTTTAGCTTTCTGTTATGTCATAATGTTGTTTCCTCATCAAAACATTCCTAAAGAGGTTTCAGATGTCATCCACGTGTGTTGGAGTATTTTAGTGATCCCTGAGCCCTGTTTGAACCCTCCTTACAGTTAGAGTCTGTGCAATACTCTGCCCATAAGCCTATATCATTCATGTTCCCACAAGGCAATTCCCCATAAATATATAAAACATGATACAAAACTGTACACAGCAACTTGACAAACCGGATGTGATGTGCAGTAGTTTCATTAGCCGATTTGTTTGTGTTGTGATAGTGCTTTATGTGAATATACCATTTTCAAAACAATAAAAGGTAACATGATTATCTAAATATTAGATTAGATTAGTCAATACCCCCTCTTTATAATAGCATTTATTTAAAAGGAATTCAATGCATTTATTTTAAAGGAATTAATTAATAATGAATTGCTGCCAGACTGAAAATGTGCAACAAACGAACCAAACTGCTTTGTACTGCTTTGTACCAGATTCATGTAAATTCCTTTCACATTATTGTTGTATTGAATGTTTATGTTACTCTTTGTAGCCTCTATATTTAAACTGCAATATTAAATTGAATCCTTGTCTGCTGTAGGTCCCATCTTTGGATCTACTTTAAATTGGCTGTGTTTCCTATTTGTTTCTATTAATTTGCTATGCACACACTGGTCTATTACTTTGTATGTGATAGCATCTGTGCTTATCCTCTCTATATCTCTTTCTTTGTTTTTTTGTTCTAGACTTAAATTAAAAGAGGGAACCAGCCAAGACATCTGAAGGCTTAAGACCCAGTACTTGCACACACGCTGGCAGTCAATTGGCAAGCCGGGGGAGGTGAAATTGAAGAGAGAGAAAGAGAGAGAGAGGGAGAGAGACAGGAAGAGAGAGAGGAGGAGAGAGAGAAAGAGTGAGTGGGCGGGATCTAGCACACAGCTCACACACCCCTCTCAGCTCCAGTCTGGTTTGGGCTTGAAGAAGGCAGCATGTGTGGCTGTGTGCTGTAGTAGTTTTCTCTGTGCCGGAGTCTGGGACATGACTGAGGATTCCCTTGTTTGCTCATAGTATGGACGCATGCTCCTGACTGCTTGGCTGTTACTGAAACAAGGATACAACTGTTACCAGAACGCAAGGACCAACCGCCAAGCAAGTACAGGTAAAGCAGATCAGGTTTAAGATGTAATGTATTAATTGATGCAGCTAATAATTGTGAAGATTGCTGTATTTTAAAGGTAGATTTAGATCTGTTTAAGAGTGGTTATGATCAAATTTATGATTATGATTGGAAGTTATTGCAAGAGAAAGACGTGAAGTTGCAGGTTATAAACACTATTGTGAGTTTTAAAATGTCAAATTAGAGTAATAATAGAGATAAAGTGTATACATTTTAGCTAATTCGTGGTGTTTCTACAGTCACTTATTAATGGGAAATTACAGTTTTCTTTTTTGATACATAGTATATATAGATTCATAAGAGAGCAGGAAAATTATTTAAGATAGCTAAGGATATTTTACAGTGATCTTGATCTTGATGTTTTATGATGAGAAGAGCGGAAACTTGCAGCACATGAACAATACAAGTCTATCTAGTAACTGTGGAGTAGCTTGATATAAAAAATAGAAGTTGACAAGGAAAGACTATTGTTCTTTATTAAGATATATACTTTTAATTAAAATGTTTAAGTCATTTATAACAAAACTACTGGAGCTAGAGACTTAAAACTGTCCTTCTGTAATTTGTTTTCTGCAGGACAGATTTGAAAATATTGGCTAAATACAGAAGATAAGTGAAACTATTCTTCATATGCCTGTATCCCGGAGCAGTCCTTGCACAATGAATGAGTTCTCATGTAGTCCTGTGGGGGAGGATACATTTACTGTAAATTGTGTGTCCGACTAACATGTTTTATTGGTGCTAGCTATGATAATTAGTGGTAGCTATAATCGAGGTAAACAAACAACATAGCAGTTCATTGCGATGTATTTTTATTAGTAGTATAAAACTCTGCGAGGTTGTTTAATGGCTTTCTATACAAATACATTTATTATGAAGAGAGTAGTGAAAGCCTTGCCCACATGTTCTGTTTTCTGCCTGTGGATGAAAAAGTTTGATAAATCATTAATGCTCTCCCTGGGCTCGTGCTTGGTCTTTATACTTGAGTGATAACAGAATACTTCCACAGTCCTCTAGACCTGCAGCACCTGGATTTGCCTATCATTAAACTCATGCTCAAAGGGCACACATAACTTTGCATGTCAGTCCAGTGTCAAAGATGTATTGTATGCTTTGAGGAGAGGAGTGTTCATGAAATAAAATGACCATAGATGTGCCTGCAGTGCACAACATTGCCTTAACTATGCATTAGACGAAAGGATTTACAAACCACTACAATACACTTAAAACATTATATGGAGAAAAAACAGCTTACAATTGCAAAATCAACAACTAGACTAGGTCAGAGACAGTCAGAATTACACATTACACACAAGGAGAGACACATTTCAAAGTAAGCCATTGTCAAAGTGGGAGTAATGACAAGCTAAGAGCTAAGTGGCAGTGTTGTTGACCAGCACTTTTGAAGCATCTGTCACTACACCACAATGTCGCTCTCAGCTGTGCCCAGGGTCATCTTCAGGCATCCAGACGGACCAAGAATTAGGAGAGGTCAAAGGGCACATACTAACCTCCTCTGTCCTTTCTCTTCTCCCTCAATGTTAGAGCTCTACAGGGGAAAGTAATTTGAAACTTGTATTGACTAAGTAACAGGTATCACAAATGCCTGAATGACATTCTTTGTATTCCAGTATAGTTCACCATCTTTTTCTTATCTTTTTCCAATTCAGTTGACTGCTTCACTGCTACCATGAGGAAGTTAGATATTGGCTGTAGGTTTGAGCAAGTGATCCGTGAAAAGATTTATAGTGGCAGATCAGAATTGGTGTGTGTGGAGTACGTGTGTGTTAGTGAAAGCTTTTTCTCTTTTTTCCCAAGCAAAAATGACAAAGAAAGAGAAGCCCTCAGCTATTATCTCATGCAGGCTGCTTAACCAGGTGTGTTCATGTGTGTAGATGTACATAGCTGTGTGGATAGAGTAAGCTAATATCATGTGTGCAAGGGGAGGAGGGGGATGGGGCTACGCTAGTGCCTATGGCTGCCTTTGTATTGTGTATTTGCACAAACTGACCCAGATTGATACACACTGCTAGTGCTAAGTCAGCTTACCTTTAGAATAAATATAGCTCTATATATCCCCATTGACCTCTAAACTACTATATAATAATAACAACATATGTATTGCTTAGGGTCAATGTGATTTATGTTTAAGCACTCAGAGCAGCAACCATCATAACATTAGGTTCTACATCATTGGGTGGTGCATGTTTTGTTTGAATGACATTGTTTATTTAGTCATTAGAATAAGGCTTAATGGGGAAAATATGTTTATATATACTTTAATCTGTATTTAATTATTATGTTTTGTACACTTAACATTAGGCGGGACCTTGATTTAATGTATTTGATCAAAAAATATATATTTTATTCAAAAACAATGTATTCATATGTGCCAATGATGTGTATACACTCACAGACATGGATCACATTAGGTAAATTTATGAATTTTCAACTAATATCATAATTGACAATGTTTGGACTGCTCTGATATGTGGTTTAAATGAAAAGATACTTTAGTTCAGTAAGAAAAAAAAACAACTGAAATTTATAATAACAATAACATAATCGTGATTGATTGAAAGTCATTTGCTGTGCTTCGTTACTTATTAATCATGCGTCAAACACTGCACAATAGCACCGGCATTGTCATCATAACTATCTTTTATCAGCTGAAGCCTACTGCACTCTCTTTCTCCTTCACTAGATGAGGATAAGAGGCTCTTTTGACCTTGTAGCACAGAGTGGTGCGCCCTCTTGGTGGATCACAGTAAATAGTTTGATTAGCATGTGGCAGCCATGATAAACGGATGGAGCAATTAACATGAGACCGATCATCCCTCCCCTCCTCTCATGTCTTTCAAGCTTTTCAAGTGCTTCTATCTTCCTCTGAGGTCCACTTATTTCTGCTGTAAAGCAAATATGAGTCTTATCCATCCCCCCAGTGCATCCCCACAAGCAATCAAGCTGTTTAAATGTTTGTGTTACGCAGTGTGGTTTCCCCTCTCTGTAGATGTCTATCTGTCTGTCAGTTAGACTGCAGCTTACTGGAGCTCCTCTGTGGTTAATGTACTTAGGGAAAACTATGACAGTATGTAGTGAAGTTGTGAATGTTTTTACTTTACAATGATTACAAATGAAAGGCCAGAAAGTCAGTGGTTGAAGTAATGGTAAAAGACTCACAGAGAAACATATTTATACAATTACATTTTTACAGCAAGTCATGTGAGTGTACATACAACACTGGTTTTGAAATGGTGAGCCATGATTTTTCATTTAAAAGTTTGATATTGTTTGTGTTGTTGTGTTGTTGTTGTTTTTTTTGCTCCAAATCCACTTAGTTTAGTGAAAGGGTCAAGAAGGACTCTGCATGGATATTAGTCTATACATTTAAAGGAAAATATTGATAATAATGGACTTTATGAGAAGTGTTTAATAGAGCATAACTTGTTGCATCCAGTTAATTAAAAGAATCTTCAATAATGCAAGCCTTTTGTGTTGAAAATAACTAAATTTCAGATGATTGTATTTATTGCATGTGTCACTTTGGCCTTTTAAGAGTTTAAGAAGAAAATTATGCAACTGGAAGGCAGTTGAGTTAGTGCGTGCCTGCGAGTGTTGTGTCAGAGTGACGTGCGTGCTCATGTGCAGTCATTTGTAATGTGACTTGTCTGGTTAAGCAGGACTGAAGCTGCACTGGGAGTGTGCTGGGTCTGATTGGGCTGCCTAACTACAGTGCTCTTTGGGGATGGAGATGTCTTTACAAAGCTTCACACCAAAAGCTAAAATGTTATGATGGCTGTAATCACCATTGGTTCACTGTGGCTGAGAGCTATGACTTTTGTGTACAATTCACTGAATTTGGTCTTGATGCTTACACATGGACATTGATTACAGCGTGCTGAGTTAGTTCACGTTGAACAGAATAATGCGGTTGATGTTATATGCTAGAACAACAACGATTCACATTTGTTTTAGCGTTCAAAATAGGGCAGCACTATATATCGTAAAAGTAACACAGTAATCAATACTGCAGCAACACCCATGTTCTCCATCTGCAAAAAAGGCAGATTTTATCTTTGATTTTCTATATTAATTCCTACATTAGCATTGATTAGTCTTGGTTTTGGCTCTGTTAAGTTTTAAAAAAATACGTCTTATGCATTTTTATTAAATTGTTTTAAATTACATGTTTTATTGTGTTAAAAATTATATTTAATGTCGTTAAGAGCCATGATTAATTAATTAACCATTGGATTTATTTAACGTCTTTCAAGATACTCAAAGCATATAGCATTATTCATTCACTCCAGTCTCAGTGGTAGTAAACTACCATTGTAGCCACAGCTGCCCTAATGTAGATTGACGGAAGCAAGGCTGCCAATCTGTGCCATTGGTCCCTTTGACCACCACCAGTCACTCACACACACAGCACATTCATGCTTGGCTATGTGGGTGTGGGTGTGCAAAGTATCTTGCCTAAGGACACAACTGTTTTTGCCACTATTGGAATATTTTTTCAATATCATGCTGCTGCCACGCTTGTTCAAACTGAATTCAATGAATGGTTTTTACTAATAAACACAGGTGGATAGTATTTCGCTGTCAGGTCCCATGACATTAACCCCCTGATGTGAACTACAAGAGAAATGTGGAGATGGGGATGCCTCCAGTAATTTGCAGGGGGAGGGGTGTGTGCCGAGAGCACGTGCCCTGGTTCGTTTCCTCCCTTTTGTCTCGTTAGTGTGTGCTGATGATTCTGAGTACTTCCCTTCCGTCCTTCACTCCCTTCTCTTTGTCCCTCATCTCTTCTTTGCTTCCTGGCTGACAGAAGAACCATCTCTGTCATGTCTGGCCATTATCTGTGATCAGTGTTGCGTGTCAGCCCACACAGCACCGCTACGACTGAGTGTGCATGAATCTGCATAATACAGTTTTAGGTTACAGTACATTAGAATACCTCATTTACAAAAACAAATAGGATA